TCCCAAGATCTTTCTATATTCGTCTTTCGAAACTTTTTTTTTTTTGTTAAGAAAGTTTGATATGTTTATTTCTCTTTTTCGCCATTGTTACCGTACCGATACGGTGGATCGAGAAGAACAATATACGATAAATCTGCGACCATTGGCTTCTTACTCAGAACAATACATGTGTAGAGATTCTACACGGTGGCGACCGTCGTTATATCCTATATTGGAAGATTACGGCGAGGGTGATCATTTAACGACGAAAGTTTCACTTACATGTGCGAAATCAAAGACCAAAAAGATTAGTTCTTTCAGCTACAAACTCAAAAAAGTTTGGTAAGTCGTTACATAGACTAGTATATATGGTTTATATATATGTCTAAAATTAGAAGATTTTTCATTGTTAATAAAAATAATTCTAATAATTAAATTTATAAATATTATTTGTTGGTTTAGGAGGAACATTGCGATGACGGATATTAGAGCCTCGCCGGGATTGTCTCCTTGTCCGGTTGTTCATCGACTTCTATAATCTTTATTTTCCTAATTTTTTTATTTTTCTAATTATGTAATGTGACAGAAATTGAATAGAAATGTAAATTTATAATATCGTTTGCTTCTCTTTATACATCTTCTTAAAGTGAGAAGGAAAAAAAAATGGAGAAACGTTAGCTCATTTTTTGTTAACTTATTTCAAAGCTCTCTTTTCAGATGGATTGTGCCATGAATGAAAGAAATTGAAACTCTTTCTCCTTCGATAATCTAAACTTAGAACAAAAAATTATTACCTTAGCTAGGAGTCGAACCGTTTTCAGGAGCGCATTTGCAAGAGATATGAGATATCTATCCAATTTTTTTTTTTTAAGATAAAATAGTTCGGTTGATGATTTGTGTATGTGATGAAAAGTTTGTGAAATTTTCATATTGTTACTTTCCAAACAAGAACACAAGTTTGAGAAACCTGTAACGGTAAAAGTCGGGGGAATTCAAATTGTTGGAACTAGTAAAACTATCGACCAGTATTGGCGAAGTTCAATTAAACAACTATTACTTAATTTTTTTCTATGACTTTTTGTTATATACTATTACGTTATATTTTTTTTCATTTAGATGAACTTCAAAATTTGTATGCACTATCTTAGTGTCATACAAATTAAATTATGTAAAGTGAATTAACTTTAACTATATAAAAGACTTACTATAGAATTTTGTTATTGATCATTTGTATGGTATATTAATTTTTTTTTTTAAATATTCTAATTCCGCGTTTGACACAGATCAAAATCTAGTATGAAAATATTATGCATGTAACACAGTACTATTTTATAAAATATCAGTTTTAAATTTTGAAACTTATCATTTCCTATTCTTGA